AAAAATCTAATATTAAATTTTAACTTTTAATAATTAATGATACATCTCAAGTTGATATTAATTTTGAAATATATGTATCAAAATTAGAGTGTGGATAAGGACAGAATTAAGGGTGAAGGTGAAATTGATGCTAAAGTAAAAGGCGATCGTAAGAGCATGTCATTGGTGCAGAATGAACAGTTGTTTTCACCGTAACTGAGAAAAATCTACTATCAGTGAAATAGCATTTCTCATTTTTCTCTATCTCTGATAGCTGCTTTTCTGTTATTTTTGTCAAAAATTAGAAATCAGCAACTAGACATTGAGTAAAAGTTAGTAAGTTTGAGAATTCTCAAGACTACATTTGTCAAACTTATATTCATAGAAAAGCTGTTTTTTTTGAGCTATGTAAATCTGAGATTTCTAGCTTGTACTTATTCACGAATTATAGAAGTTTGTTAGAGACGCTCGATTTCGACTAGTTAATCTTGGACTACGCAAAAAAAATGAACCTATAGAGAAGTAATTGATTACACTGAGTCGAGTAATGATGTTCGCTTTTAGTTTCCAAACGATGTACAATCAATGAATCCAGATTTTCGAAATTTCAAATTTTCCAGCTATACAATGTCAACAGTCGATATTTTGAAAATTTTTATTCAATAATTGTAAGTCGTTTAGAAACTAAAAGTGAACATCACTATTCGACTCAGCGTATTCAATTACTTCTCTCTAAACCTATTTTTTGGGTAATCCAGAACTAACTAGTCGAAGTCAAGCAACTAGAAATCTCGGATTGACGTAGCTCAAAACAAAATCATTTTCTCTATTGCATATAAGTTTTTAAAGTTGAAATTCAATGTTCATTCTTTGAGAATCATGTTAATTATGTTAAAAACACGTTTCGAAACGTTTTATGACATCCGATCGAAAAAAAAAGTTCGATCTGTTCCAAACTTGACTACAACTTGATGAAAACTGTTTCGCAATACTGTTTACTGCCCGCAAGTTATTCAAGTTCCCGAGACTTGTCTTCTATTTTAAATTTGCACCTAATAATATGGATGTATTACAATAAATATTCATTAACTTGATTTCTAATATTTTAGATCGTTTTTGCCGAAGCATATCTTTTATAGTTGGTGACAACTTGCAGAACTATGGTTTATTCATAAGATTTTAAATGTCTTATTAAATAAAGAAATATTGAGTCAATGTTTTTTTTTTTTGTAAATTTATATTTCTAGAATGAACAATTCGAGTTGTCAAAAGAATATAGTTTATTAAAACTAAGATATTTCTAATTTGATGTTTTATTATTAAAAGAAAGAAGTAATAGATAGCGATAACTATCTTGTTGTGATAATATGATGGATACAGTGGAGAGATTATTCTATCTCAATCGAGTTTCATTTTATGAATCTGAAGACATCATGAAGATCGTTATTGTTTCTTTCAATTACAAAGAAATTCTCCTTTTGTAATCTTATTAATTTTCACGAGTTTATTTTTATTTACGAAAGATTTCTCTCAAATAGAATAAACAATTATCGTTAGCTAATCATTTATTTTGTCTGTTCTTTTTTCTTTTATTTATTTCTTCATTAAAAAATAAGAGGTAGTCAAATCACAAAAAAATGATGAAGACATTTTAAACGTATTTGATACAAACTAGAGAAAGTCTGCTAGTAGAGCCCGTCGAATCCAAACTTTTCGGACCCGAACCCGACCGAGTCTGGACTTGAAACCAACCCGATGAGCTCTACTTACGAAGATTCACATTCATGAGTCTTTCTTCTTGGCTGATGACTATTTTAGTGAGTTTTCCAATAGTCGACAATGATCATATCACTTTTTTCCGTCTTCGGATTGATAAATTTCATTCATTTAATAACATATTAGGCTATTATTTTAGTATTAAACTTATTGATAATACAATATGTAAGATATGCATTACTAATTTATTCTTTGGATAAGAAAAAAACAATGTGATACCTGTATAACAGAAGATTCATTCATCTTAGAGATTATCATAGATAGGATTGGATTATGAAATATTGTTTATTTAATATCAGATTTGATAAAGATGAATTGTGTTCTGTATAGAATGAGTTGATCTTTATCCTCAATTTAATTAATAATAATCATATGGCACGAACATGAGCAAATCTATGCTGAAGAATTCTCACAAAAAGACTCCATGCAGTTCTACTACTTGTGCAAGTCTAAAACACTTCAGCTGCAGTCGATGTAATCGTAGTACGTTTTCGAAAGAATAATTCAGATCTATGTATATGATTTTAAGAACTTCTTTTTGATGAATTATTATTTGATAGATTAGAATATAATACCATTAGATATCATTTTCAGATGACAAAAAAAAAACGGTAGGACGACAACGATAAAATTTTATAATTCTCTTTGGTCATTTAAATAACTAATCGAATATTTATTTAATAGCGACCTCATGACAAGAAATCTTTAACGAATGTTAAATAAATTATTTAAAATGTTGAATTCTGACGAAGAAAAATCGTTTGATGAAAATGATTTTTCATCATTAGTTGCATCAAGTCTTCGAAATGTTATTGAAAATAGTGTAGTAGATCTTGTATTACCTTATCGAATATTATCTCTTTCACATCTATCATCATGGAAAACATTTCAAAATGATTTAATTAAAATTTTAAAACGAAATTCTAATAGTAATCAAGAAAATAATCAGGTTTTGATTTTATTTCTATCTTTGTTTTTTTTTTTATTTGATTTTTTTTTTGTGTTGTAAATCATAGGATCTTCTTCTTTTACATCATTTTCATTACTGTACAAACCATTTTAATGAAAAACAACAAGAAGATTTTTCTTTTGAAACTTTAATGAATTCTCACATCGGTTTTATTCGAACTCAATCAGATTTTGATCGTTTACGTCAATTCATGTAATCTTCTAGAACAATAAAACTTTTAAAACTTTTAGGAAAACTTTAAATTCTCTCATTTAACTAAATAATAAATCATTTAAAAAGAAAAATTCTTTTATTTTTAATTACAGAGTTTTTCATGTTTTAATTCTTGACTCAATTTTGTATATGAATATGCAATCATAAATGTAGACTGTATTACAAGTATTTAGAATAATAAACTCTAAAAAAAAACGGATTTTATTATCGTCTTAAACCTTGCATCAAATTTTCATGAATCTTCGTATGATTTATGAACATGGTACACATGTACTAAAATGCTTTAATATAGAGTTTATAAAGATAAGATAATCTTTTTTTAGGATTAATTATTTTGAACTTTTCTCAATTGTAAATATACCGACACGGACAATTAAACTGTGCATTTGTTTTGTATAAGAAATGTTCAATCGGCAAAATAATGAATTCGCGAAGTTCTGAAATCATTGGACGTTGTAGAGTGAACGGTTTTCTAGAAAATAAGATGTGAACGAGATTTGTATGGCTATATTTATTGTATGAAAATCTCGAAGTCAAGATCAACTCTTGATCTCAATTTATAGCTTTTCATACAATTAAAATACAAATTGAAATATACGCCACACAGATCTCGTTCGCATTCAATTTTGTGGACAACTATTTGTTTTAGAAACATGCATGTTGAACATAGTTGTACTGTTTTACTCATAATTTAAACATCTTCAGCAGATAATTTAGAAAAATGAAAAATTCTTGTTAGGTGTTTACACACATAATTCTTTGGAATATATTCCATCCAATAAATATAAATGCTATGATGCCATAATCGTCGTCTTTATTTTGAGCAATTATATGTTTTTTGTTCGTCAGTAGAAATAGATCGAGTGTACTCTCAATCGAGAACATCAGTAAAAGCCATATTTTAAACATTTTCTCGAATCAGTGTAGTGTGAAGCAATTTTCAATAAAAATAATACACAAGTACATGTGTATTTCAAATAAGATATGTATAGAAATCCATCTTCTGTTATTACAAGTACTGGCATGTGATTATTCAATAGATTGAAAGAAGACATATGTATTGTGTTGACATTTATAAAATGTTAACTGTATTATGTCAAAACATGATGAAAAGAATTTCGTATATTTGTTTTTAGAAAAAATACTAAAAATTCACATTTAAACCAAATAATACTGATAGCGGTATAAATCGATCAGCTGACTCGACGTCGCTGATTTTGGGAAAAATTTCCAACCATCGCCGGCGATGATGGCAAAATTTTCAGGATATACAAGCCGTGGCCACTAATATTCAAGATATTCAGTCATGTCGCCGCCGTCTCAACATAAAAATAGATGCTTGATTTTAAAAACTTTTTGACCTCCCAAATCAGTTTTTGGAGATGTTACCGTCTGGTTTCTTGTCAATAAGTTCTCTACTATCGTTTTCTCTCTTTTTTATTTCAAAGTTTCTCGAAATTAAAGAAATTTTAAAAAAATTCATCGAAAAATTTCAGTTACCATCAGAGTTTTACATATTTCTAGCTGTCTCTATCAATACATCGATTTATATCTTTAAATACTAAAACGATTATGTTTCTGCACATAAAAATCAATGAAATAAAGTAGAAATTCTTGAAAAATCTTTTTTTTTAAAGGAAAGAACAAATTTAATATTTGAATGAATGTAATCAAACCTAATAGGAATTGAACCGGACTCGAATCAGTAAACCTCGATTCGATTCTGTCTCTATTCTGCTCCTGTTCTGGATTAGACATACGAGAGAAAATTTAGAAAAATTATTTTTCTCTATCAAACAAATTTGAGTAAAATTTAAAATGCTAATGAATCTTAGTAATTCATTTTTCTGTATCAGAAAATATCTGTAAAAGAAAATAAAATTATTAGTTAATGATATAAGAAAAAACAAACTACGTAGTCAATTTTCAATATTAACGATAGTTGTTTCTATTAGATAAAAAGACAATGTGTTACGGAAATTTAACTTTGGCGCAATTTTGATTTTGAAATATTTGTATTTTTTCTGAATAGATAAATTCGTTTTTTTTATTATTATTATTAATGAAACGAAATCGATCTTTAAACAATGATCAAACCGAATTTTCTCTTAAACGAGTTCATGTACAAAATGAAATTAATCTTAAAGATACAAAACAAGAACAATCTTATTTGCAAATAAATCCTATTCATTTAAATTTATCTGATAAAAGACATATTATAGAAAAAGTTCAACTATGGTTAAGTAATATTAGACCAATAGATAGATAATTAATTAATTAATTAATTAATTTGAACATATTTTTGGAAATAAAAACTATTTTCATTTTATAAAATGAATTCAATTTAACTCGTTTTATTGTATTCAAAAAAATGAACCACAATTGAATAAGTTTCATCATTCTACTGGATAGATTTACTTTTTGATAATTATATTTTATCAGAATTGATTACCTTAAGTCGAAAATAGATAAAATATTTTTCCGTCATTACTTTTGAGACAAGAATAATAAGCATAAATATTCTGGACTATTGTTATTGATTGTCATTGCTTTTATTTTATCTATGAAATACGAACACAATTTATCAATGATGATCAACATTAAAAAATTCATAGATAGTCTATAATGTCTTAAAAAATATTTGAATCATGCTGGTTTGTACAATACTTCAGAACAAAATAAGATTCAGAATTATAGTTTTCACAAAAGAGAAAAGGCGAGACTTCAAGAGTGTGTATTTCAGTCGTACTTCATCTGTACTTTGTGACAGAGGTGTCTTCGACGTCATCAAGATTGGAAAAGCCAACTACTAAGAACGTAGGGTCGACGACATTGGGAGAGTCGATTCTTCCTGCAGAGATTGATGAACAAAAACAGTGAAGAAAATCATTCAGTTTCGTTGGGAAAAAACAAAAATTTCTCAATATTGAGCATCTTAAAGACTTCAAAAAGATTAAATAGTCATAAACAAATAAAAACATTCGCCAATCTTCGTAATTGCTTACTTATACTGCTATCTTTTACCTGTAATGGCAATTCTAAATCCTCTAATCGTCGACTTCTATCACATACAACCAACTACAAATCAAGTTTATATTACTGTAGTATACGGTTGTTTACATGAAAATATAATTATTCTACGGCACAGACGCCACTGTAAACGATGCCCATACTTAGTCGTGGACAACACGACGACATATGGTCGTAATTTCACTGTTGATGTGCTTTAAAGCTATTGTTAACATCAATGAATGATCGTTTATGGCTATATTAATGGTAAATCTGAGTAGTTATGATACAACGAACTTCTTGCTAACTTTAATTGAGATGTATAGAACCAAGCCTATAATGATACAGAACAACAAAAGTTCATCCCAAGCAGCATGAAGATGAAAGATGCTAAATACATGATTTTCTATTTCTTTCATTTTTTCAACTAGGTTTTTCACAGGACTAGAATTTATGAAGTTGTTGACTATAAAACTAAATTTGTTCTCGAAGTTCTTTTTCTTGTTGTTATGATTCACAATGGCGTTAATAAAATCTTAATTCTTATTATCATTTTAAAGCCGAAAATACTAATTGAATTTCTATATGATGCAGCGAAAGTTAAATAGCATGATTATACATATTGTATGTCATAATGTATTATAAATTCTTCATTGTGCCAGAATATTTATTTGTGTTAGTTCACATAATCGAACTTCTATCTAATGTTCAATTATACATGAAATAACAAACACTAGTAAATAATGAAGCTCATTATTCTTTTCCCTTTATTTATTTCTATCTTTCATTGAACAAAAAAAGTTGATAGTTAACATCCTCCACAAAAAAAAACAACTGATTAAAATAAAAAAATAGTATTATCCACCAAATAATATTAACAGCAAAAAAATTGCAATTCATATTGATGAGATCCTAGTTTACAGAATAAATATCTTTGAAAGCTTCAAGATATTCATGTAAAGGATTCAGTTGATAAAAGAGGTAAATCACGATCTGCTCTTCGTAAATAGAAATATCCAAATATTAAAATGATAATAATACCAAGACCAAAAACAAAAATACTCAAAATTATTGTCAGCGTCTTATTATTTCCATTATCTTAAATAAATAAATTAGTTTCATTCATCAACAATATATGATCTTACTTGGTGGAGTAGGTGGAACTTTTGTTGCACATTCAACTTCAGCACTTGCTGGAAAACGATCTTTATATATAGCCGTAAATGTATCTAACGGACATTCTAATGCTGGACAACCATTTAATAGATATGGATAAGGTTTATTTGAATCTGTTACATTTAAATATTCTACTTTAATATAATATGTTGAATCTACAATAAACTATAAAATTATTTTATTAATTTAAAAAAATTAAAATTTTACTTTGTTTATAAAGATCAAGAAATAATGCTGATGCATACTAAATTAAAAACAAAAAGAAACATATAAATAAAATTAAATAAAATTATCTATACTTGTGGTTGATGTGGATAATTAATACCAAGAAAAGCAAGAGCTCCACTAACTGTTGTATCGTGCTAGAAATAATAGTTGGTTTTTAAAATTGTGAAAAATCATTTTTAACTTACAGCTGAATACATTTTAACTTTTCGATATGTATCTCCATGACTTGAACTATTCATATTCATCCAAATATCCTGTACCAATGGACCTATGTGAATAAATCTTTTCAATCATTGAATATATTATAATTTAATTAGCAAACCTCCTCGTATTCGTTTACTATCATTACTTAAATAAAGAAAATGATATGACATATCACTAAGAGCAGTTAAATTTTGTCGAACATTTTCATCAGCCCATGTTGGTGTCTTATTGTAAATATGCTAAGAGAAAACAAAACAAAGTCTAATTTAAAAAAAAAAACTTAGATATCTTTAGTTTTACTTCAACAAAAATTGTATCAGCAATATCCCAACCATTATACATACTAATATTAGGTATATTTGTCCATATTTCAAGTTTTTTAAAAAAAGGCTATAAAGAAAAAAGATTTTTAATTAACGAAGCAATGTATCTGACTGATATTTTCCTTTTGAGTTCATATTTTGCTCATAGACAAGATTCATCCTGTGAATAAAAGTCCTAAAATGGTTCGTATCAATAGGTCTTTCTTGACGAATTATGCTCATTTTACTGAATTTTCAGCCGATTGTAGAATGTTAGGAAAAAAAACTCTTATGGGTATTTATGCTATTCCAAAAGGTTTCAAAATCGCAGAGGTTTCTTTTTCGATCGAGATTGAAGAAAACAACCATTAACATTATAAAATGGTGAAAAGCAGTATTATGAACGTCGCTATTTCCGTTAGTCATGTAGAGTAGTGAAAATAATGAGAAAAAACGATGACCATTTGCTAATAAAAAATATGGCTCGTATAACAATATAATGAATTACAGTAGAATACGCTGAAAACTTATATATTAGAGAAGTTGTTTTTTTAGTTATTTACAACGCTATTACGAACTTTTGAAATGATTATGATCTGAGGAGATAAAAAAAACATTATTTTCTCGCGAACGTTCTAGACATCCAATCTAAGAAGAATAAATCATCCGTTTGAGCTGAAACTTTTCGAATATTATAAAGACTAGAAGATCTATCCTGGTAGAAAATTTCAAACGGGAATTCTTTGTTACTCAATTTTTTGTAATACCATGCAATTGACTGAAAATTCAATAAAACGAACACAATTCAAGAAGAAAGATCTACTGGCAGGAATCTTTTCAAGGTTTTTATGTACGTGACGAATGTTGTCTATAAGCAAAATATGAGATCAAATAGAAGATATCAATCAGATGGGTTTCTTCATAAGTATAAAATAAAAATTGACTATATACCTCATAATATATATTCATATTTTTAAATTCATCACTTTGATAAGTATCGTTTTCAACTTGATTATATCTGGGACAATCACTAACACCGAGTAACTAAATGAAGAAAAAAAGTCAACCTCTCCTCTTTTTTTTGTTATCTTAGAAAATAACATACAAAATCTTCCTTTTCTAATACAGTATGAATTGGAATAGGTTGAATTGGAATTTTATCATCTGTAATATTGTACAATGGATAAAGACCAGCAAGATTTGATTGAGCTGACATTAATGTTCGATCATAATCAGTTGAACGAACATAAATCTCACTAGCAACATAATTTGTACTAAGGATTGATTCATAACGATTACGAAGATATTTCCCCAGACGATAATGTTGTTGAATACCAGCAATTGTTAATTGACCAAAACTAGAATCAACAAAAAAAAAAACAAAAATTCATGAAAATCTAAAAATTTCATAATCTACCCATTAGGCCAATCTTTTTCTTGTGTTGGATCTGTTGGAAATGTTCTGATAGGTGTTCGATCCCCGTGCCTAAATAACTAAAATACAGTGGGAAAAAAATCGAACTTCGATTATCGTTTGTTTGTTTCTTTGAAACAATCGAACTTACTACATGACCAGAGATAAGTTCCATTTGTTCTCCATAGATTTGATTTAATAAAATAGAGAAAATAATAACCAAAATTTCTCTCATTATTAATCAAGAGAAAAAGAAAATCTAAAATAAGAATACAAATTGATTTCAGTTTTTATTCAAATTGAAATTTAATCCATACTATCATGTTATTATTTATTCAAAATTATAAATATTGAATTAATTAGAAATACTAATATTTCGTTATGTAAATTAATCTTCACTGTTTGTATCTCAACTGATCATGTATTTTTTTCATACGCCTACACTCAAATACAGACCAATGATAAGCAGAAAAACAAATGAAATCATCCAAACAATTACTGACACATTAGCCTATGACATCTATTTGAATAAAAGACTAATAATCTATCGAAATCACCATAAATCATATTACATAAATACTTCAATCATGAACGTTTGATTATTTTCTTTATATATTTAACAATATCCAATCATCAAATTCAAAATATCTTTTAATAAATCATTCTGTACAATAAGATACATTTACAACATAAGTATTATTATTATTATTGCATCTGAAAACAAGATAAACATATATACAAACCAGATTTTTTTTTCACTCACAGGTAAATACAAGAATATACAAAAACAATAGATAAATCAAAAACAAAAAAACAACGAAAGCAAAGCAGGTGTTAAAAGAACAACCTATTATAAAAAAAAGATAGGATAATATGACGTTTTAATTGACTAGAATCTTATAGAAATTATTGAGTATTACGTATATCATTAAATAA